TATTATTATTATTATTATTATTATTATTATTATTATTATTATTATTATTATTATTATTATTATTATTATTATTATTATTATTATTATTATTATTATTATTATTATTATGATGATTATTATGCCCAACCCCTGAGGTATGACCAAATTACGAAAAAACCCATTTTATTTGGGTAATTATAGTCACCCTTCTTTTTAAATATTTTTATATAAAATTTATGTAATTCAGTTATTTAACGAGCCAAATCGTATGTTCAGTACGATAAACTGTATGAACTGTTGGCGTACCGAAATTTCGGTTCGGTTTTACCGGCGTAACATCCCTAAATTTACCTCTCGAATGTATTTTCGTAAAATAATACATAGTTGAGGGGTGACTGTAATTGCCTAAACATGAGGAGGATTTTCGTAATTTGATCATAATTCATAATCATTGTTATCCATATTAGTGAGGTTAATTTAAAACTAAAATTAGGTTAACATGCATGGGGTGATTTTGAATTAAATATATTTTTGTATTATTTATTTAAGTTATGCTCAATTACACTTCATTCAAGTTGACTTTACATATTGAAGTCAATTCCAAAATTAATCTTTAAACCACGATAGAAAAATCAAAACATACTTGTACGATGATACATTTAATTTCGACTTGTTGACGCAATTCATCAGATTCGATTATACAAACGTGCAGGTTTATCTGATTTCGAGACTTTTCAAATGGGAATATTCTAATCCCACATTGGATTTAATTTAACTAAGTTTAAGACCACAATATTTTTAATATATGGAGTTATTAACTTATTATTATTGATGAAAAATTGTATACTAACCAAAGACTTATTGACTTAAAAACAAGTCGAGCCGTGGTAGGGTAGACCTTTAGACTGGCAGTTTATACGTCATTGGTTTGTGACTTATTAGAAAGATAATTTGAATTTTTTTTTCAATTAAATTGAAAATTTTATGTAAAAAAAATAAAAAATTAGAGTCGCAATTTTCATTTCGATTTTAGTTTCTAAAATTTCATTTTGTTTCCAAAAATACGTTTGAGGTTTTTTTACCATCAGATAATTTACGTTTGAAGTGTTGCATTTGAGCTCGGGGCTTTTCATTTGATATGACTCTGATATCAGATTGAATAACCGTATCAGTCAAAAGCTTAAAATATCAGTAAGATGTATTATTTATTAGGGGTCATTAGCAATAAACCCCTCATATAGATAATAAATGGTGATATGTCCAACCCTTAAATCTTTCTTTGTGATAACCCCCTAGAATTTGTATTTCCAATTCTACCCTTATGTCAATTAGCATAATTAGTCTCAATTATTCCTTTTTTTCTCTTTCCATAACAACAATTTAATTCCTAAAAATCTACTTCCAAATTTCTAAAATTTGCTACCAAATCAAAAAAAGGGATTTTTTTATTTTTTTATTTTGTATTATTTTCGGATTTTATAGCCATTTTTTTTATTATTTTTTTATTTTGTATTATTTTCGGATTTTATAGCCATTTTTTATTGTTTTTTTTTTATTTTTTAATATTTTAATATTTTTTTAATAAAAAATATTTTTTTTAATTTTTTTTAAACAAAAAATTGATAATTTTTTTTCTCGACAGATTTACAACTCCGAATGTGACTATAGTTGAATATGGTTATTA